TAATAATAATAATAATGTTTTATAATAATTATTATTATTTTTGTTCTTTTAGAACAAAAACTTTCATTGGAACACAATGAAATTAGAAAAAGAAATATTTAAATAAATAATGATAACTGTTATAATATAATATAATTGTTATCATTGTTGTTGTTGCTATTATTATTATTATTACCATTATTATTATTATTATTACTATTATTATTATTATTATTATTATTATTATTGTTATTAACAAAACAAAAGCACAAAGACTTGAGTCATCAGACACCTGAGAACTTTCAGGCAATATATTTCTTCTATAGCTCAAAAAACAAAGATAAAGAAAATAGTTTCTACACACAACAACAAATGGAGGTCAGTGTCCTGCTCCACATATTATATATAAATGTTTGTAAATCTAAAATGTCTGTAAGTGTCAAGTTCACATCATCAGAACATGAAGGAACAAAATTGAAAGAAACTTCTCAACTGTTCAGAGAAACTCCAACACCTGCAACTTGTTTAAAGCTTTGCTGGTGAACGCCAAACAAAAGACAACTTTTAGCATCCAGAAACAATTGAAACACACAATAGATCTGCCTTAAGGCCAAACAGTCTAAAGAGCCTGACGATTGATTCTTCCTGTCCTCAAGAACATGTGAAAAAATAGTGTATATTACTAACACCACCTGCTACTCACTTCCACAATGTGCTGGATATTTATATGTCCCACTCCAATGTCCTGAATTTCCTTGTGAAAAAAACCCAAGTGCACATAATTGCATTGAATGTGCACTGATAATATATTTATTTGTTTTCCTTAGACTTTGTCCAGCACATGTTTTACACAGCGGAAGCTCTTCCAGCTGCCACCCAGTACTGAGAAACACCCATACAGACTCATTCATACAGATGCACTACGACCACTGAAAGTATAGTATGCTTCAAATTTAAAACTGGTTGCTGAGAAGTGATAACATACTGATACATGACATAACTTCTGCATATGTTTAATCTTTAAGTGTCAAAAATAGCTCTTGCAAAATGTCAAACGTGTTTTTCTCAAATCTCACACACTGATGTGCCATTAATAAATATTAATATTTACACATATTGACAAATCACTGCGGCATGAAAGATTGATCACTGAACGTTCACACGTCTAAATTTATTTAGATTTTTCTCTTCAGAGTATTATCGATGTTGTTTTGTTGGCAGTAAATATGTAGGTTTCATAACGCAGTGCTTCTTTTGATCAATGCTGAGTTGCAAAGCCTAAGAAGTGTAATTAAACTCCATTCATCCCATAGGGGTAATAACACCAGTCCTGCTCAGATTATACTGTAAGTTATGACAAACTTCATGCAATGATCTACACTACCTGACAAAAGTCTTGTCGCCTATCCAAGTTTTAGGAACAGTAAATAATAACTGGACTTCTAGTTGATCATTTGGTATCAGAAGTGGCTCATATGAAAGGCAAAGGCCTCTAGATTTTTCTTATTTGAGCACAATAAAATATGATCATGCCTTGATTATTAATGATTTCATTATGACAGTAAAGTCTGACTTTGCTTAGACTAAAGTCTCATCACTGAACAGAAATAATGTCCAGTATAGAATATAAAGTCCTGCTGCAGTAGAGACAGAATGAATATTGTGTGACTCCATCATGAACTTGGAGGACTGCATCCATACATCTCTGACATGACTCAAATCACTGATTAATAAAGTCATCTGGAATGAAGAAGAAAGCCTTCAGCAGGACTCCCAGTGCTCATCAAGACTCATCTTCAACGCCTCCTCCTCCATCTTACCCCAGACATGCTCAATAATGTTCATGTCTGGCGACTGGGCTGGCCAATCCTGGAGCATCTTGATCTTCTTTGCTCTCAGGAGTTTTGATGTGGAGGCTGAAGTATGAGAAGGAGCGCTATCCTGCTGGAGAATTGTCCCTCTCCTGTGGTTTGTAATGTAATACAAACAGCACAAATGTCTTGATACCTCAGGCTGTTGATGTTGATCATCCACTCTGCAGATCTCTCGCACGCCCCCATACTGAATGAACCCCAAACCATGAATCCTCCTTCACCAAACTTGACTGATTTCTGTGAGAACATTGCGGGTTCCAGTAGGTCTTCTGCAGTATTTGTGATGATTGGGATGCAGATCAACAGATGATTCAGTGACAATTATTTGTTGCTCTTACAATTGGGATCAACACAAGACTTTTTTTCAGGTAGTGTATAAGAAATTAACTTTCGATCAAAAAAACAAAATGCACAAAATAATGTTTAATGAATTTTGATTGAGTTAAAGTAGTATTAGCATGGTTAAAATTACAATTAGACTGCTTATAAATGTCTAAAAGAACAATTATTCAGCTCCAAACAGAGCTAGAATACAGATATTGAATGCATTTTGTTTAAATGTCAAACTATACTTTTAACTGTAATGTGTTAATCAACATTGCAATTAAAGTGAATAATAAATAGTATTTTTGTATAACAGTATGTGTAAAGTGTGCTTTTTTCCATAAGGGTCAAGAGAAAACATGACAACAGGAGGGGAAAACTGCATACTAAATCACTCTGCACTATAAAGTTGCTTCCTCTTAACAAAACCTAGATGAGTTTACAGGGATTCAGCGCACGTCTATGAGAAAGCTGGCCTGAATCTGACATGATCCGTGATAATAAAGGAGCCCGCTGGTTATTAAATTTCCCCATCCAGAGAATTATCAATGATTTACCTCTGCTATAAAAGCAGCGGCCGGGACGCAGGTGAGAAATCTGATCACACTGTTTGTTTGACTTTCATTTTTTTGTTTTGCTCATACTACAAAGGGTGGATGAAAGCAGCTTTTCATTTATAAAACTTCCAGACACAAGCGAACGTAAAGCGAAAAGAAAACACGCTCAGTTCGTCAGCAGAGAAACGTCCTTTTCTCACAACATGAAAGAAGCTTCAGACGTGATGCTGCCCTTCACCTCATCTAACCTTAAAAAAGTGCAGAAATCTGACAGCTGGCAGCGGACACAAACACAATCCAGCTGGAATTATGCAAAAGCTTTAGAAACACACAGCCAAGGTTGAGTCCTCGCAGTCAAGAACATGTCAGGCACGTTATTGTACTGATTCATCAGCCGAGTGTTACTGAAATGGCCTGAAAAACACTCAAGTCTAAGACGTAAACATCACGACACAAACACTCTAACCTTACTTTACAAAGCCAGAGTTTAAAGTTTCTCTTCTGCTCAACAAAGCTGTGTTTATTTTATTAAAAATACTATAAGAATGGCAATACTGTGAAATAAAACATGCTATTTAAAATACTGATGCGATACTTCGATCTTACAATTTGTCTAACCAAGGACAACATGCTAGCAACATTATAACAGAATGCTAAACCACACTAACAGAATGGCCTAACACACTAAAAGAATGCTAAAAGATGATATCAAAATGCTAAAACTAACGCTAACAGAATGCTAAAAACAAGTAGCATGCTAAAACAAACTAACATAATGCTAAAACATTCTAACAGGATGCTAAAACATGATATCAAAATGCTAAATCTAACCCTAAGACAATGCTAAAACATACTAACTTAACGAACAAACCACACTAACAAAGCAGTACCACACTAACATAATGCTAAAACTAACCCTAGCCCAAACAGAATGCTAAAACATAATTTTAGAACGCTAAAACAGACTAACAGCCCTGCTGAAAAAAAACAGCTTAAACCAGTCTAAGATGGTTAGCTGGTTTTAGAGGGATTTTGGCCATTTCCAGGCTGGGATACGACCAGCTAAAACCAGCTTTGACTAACCTAGCCAGACTGGGAGTCCAGCCAAAACCAGCTACAGTATGTCCAGCTTAAACTAGGCTGGTCAAGATGGTTTTAGCTGGTCATTTCCCAGCTAACTCCAACAGAATGCTAAAACTAACCCAAACAGAATGCTAAAGCTAACCCTAACCTAACTTCAACGGAATGCTAAAACTAACACCAACAGAATGCTAAAGCTAACCCCAACCCCAACAGAATGCTAAAACATGATATCAGAATGCTAAAACTAACCCTAACCCCAACAGAATGCTAAAACTTATCCTAACCACAACAGAATGCTACAACATAATATCAGAATGCTAAAACTAACCCCAACAGAATGCTACAACATACAAACAGAATGCTAAAACATACCAACAGAATGCTAAAATATGCTAACAGAATGCTAAAAAATAGTATCAAAATACTAAAACCCATCACAATCCCCACAGAATGCTAAAACACAATATCAGAATGCTAATGCTAACCCTAGCCCTAACAGAATGCTATAACATACCAACAAAATTCTACAACATAATATCAGAAGGCTAAAACTAATCCTAACCCAATAACAGAATGCTAAAACATAATACCAGTTGCTAAAACTAATCCTAACCTTAACCTATTCACCGTGTGCACTTAACATGCCTAACGGACACATCGAGCAGGGGCGGAGTCCAACATTATACCAATCCAATTGACCGTATTCTACAATGCGCTTGTTTTACAACTTCCGATTCAGTTGCCTATGGGAGAAATGATGACTATGGATAATAAACGGCAGAAAACCATCAACCTACTCGCTCCACAAACAAGTGCTGGCATGACTGTACATAAAAAGTAGAATAATATAATAAGAAATGATCAGTTTGCAACATCAAGCGGCAGAACGAGCTGTTTTTAACCTCTAAAAATGAACGGAAGTGAAGGAGAGCGGAAGTCTCAAGCCAAAAGGATTTAAATGTCTGCGCTCACTCGTACGTGGAGAATAAGGTGAATACATTTATACCCAAATGTAGTCAGTCACTACACTTCTCTTATTCCCACACTATACTCATGTTTTACCCTTAAATGCCATTTAATTTAGGGCATCATGTATGAGAGTACAAATTTCCTGAAAAATATTTGAATAAAAATCCCAAATGAGCCTTAGTAAATAAATCGGCCTTTAGCATCAGGCGCTTACCTGTCTGCAGGGGCCGTCCGGTTGCTGCGGGGCTTGTTGACCTGGGCGTACAGGGTCTCAAGGGCCAGCGGTGGCTCTCTAGGGCCCAACGGACGCTCCTGTCCTGGCGTGAGGCTCAGATCTAGACTGCTGTCCAGAGACGAGTCCAGAGAGCCGATGCCGGCGTAGGTGTGCTCCTCGTCTGAGCTCAGCGGCCGGCTGAAGTCCTGGATCTCTGCATACTCGCGCTCTTTGGCCTGACGCTCCCGCAGCTCGCGCGTCTTTGCCTGAATCCTGCAAACAAACACAACATAAATGACTTTTTAAAATACGTCCTAAAATAAAACTGTTTTTGGAAAAGCATTTATTATTATTATAAATATGAATATTATTATTAGTAGTAGTAGTAGTAGTAGCAATTTTTAAATATTATAAATGTTTAATGTAAATGTTTTAAATATTTTAGTTTTTTGTGGGGAAGTTTGAAGCAGCCATACACAAAAACAGTTGCCAATTACAAAAAATTTACTAAAATAAAATCAATCAAAAATTGAATAGTGATTATTATTATTATTTATTTATTATTATAATTAGCATTATTGTTATTATTTTTATAATAATAATAATAATTATTATTATTATAATAATTATAATTATAATTATTGTTATTGTTATTAATATTAGAAAGACACTTCATTTCATTAAAAACAAATATTATTGCTGGTGGTGGTATTAATCCGACTTATTAAAAATGCATTTGTAGATATTTAAACATTAAATTTAAATTAATTAATATGTTTTAGCATATATGTTGGTGATTCAATAAATCATGCAAAAATCTTAATTATTTGTTTGAAAAAAATATTATTACTATTATTTTAAATATACAGTTGAAGTCAGACATATATATATATATATATATATATATATATATATATATATTGTAATTTATTTAAGTGTTTAAAATATTTTAGTGTTTTTTTGGGGAGGCTTGAAGTAAAAAATACTAAACAAAAAAAAGTTGCCATAAACAAAAATATGACTAAAATAAAATCAATCTAAAATGTATTACTATAATAATAATAATATTATTATTATAACTATTATTATTATTATTATTATAACTATTATTATTATTATTATTATTATTATATATATTTGTACAGCGCTTTACTAAAGGTGCACATTTTTTCCACTGCAAACAAAATAAGTTATTATATACAGGCATAGTTATAGTATATAGTTGATGTGTACATGTTTAATGAAGTGCATTTGTGTAATAAGTGTATGTGTTGTCCTCAAAGTCCTTATTATTATTATTATTATTAGTAGTAGTAGTAGTAGTAGTAGTAGTAGTAGTAATTTAATGACATATTTATAGAAATGTTTAAAATATTTTTGTATTTTGGTGGGGTGGTAAAGTTGCCGGAAACAAAAATATAAGTAAAATATAATAAATCTAAAATTGAATACTGATTATTATTGTTGTTGCTGATCTTCTTATTATTAATAATATTTTTATTTTGGTAACTGAATTAAATGTAAAAATGTTTAAAATATTTTAGTATTTTTGTGGGGAGAATAAAAGTAAAAATACGTCTTCATTTATTTATTATTTTTATTTAATTTTTTAAAAGTATTGCTTTAGGTTATCCACACACACACATACAGTACACAAGACACAAATATGAAAATGTGCTGATGCTGATTTGCCAGTGTTTCCCAGCCGATTAGCGTGAGTCATAAACGTGTGCAGTGAATTGGATTTGGAGCAGCGGAGGCCGACAGAAAGAGCGTCAGTGCGACTCTAATTCTATTAGCCTGACAGAGAGAAAACGCTCATTGTGGCTAAATTAGATCTCTCTTATATGAGAATATGAGGAATCTCTCAGTCTCTCTATCAGAGAAAACCCTCAGCTCAACTCCTCCCGCCGTAGCTGTCAATCAAACAGAGGCTGTCGGGGTCAAAGGTCAGCAGGTTCAGACCTCATGAACCCCTGAGAAATGCTCAGGTCTGCTGATGAGCATCTGGATCTGATGAGACACAGAAAAACACCACAGGAGGCTTTTCACACCAACTTTAACATCTCCTGGACCATTCCTGAGGATCTGCTTTTCCTCACGGACACTTACACACGCACACACACACACACACTCACTGAGAAACACCGTTCACTCACTTCCTCTTAATGTGGAAGACTTATTGGTAGCGTTTACGAATGGAGTGTGTGTGTGTGTGTGTGTGTGTGTTGTGTTTGTCTGTGGATGTACTGTGTTTGAGCGTGTGTGGACCTGCGCATACGTGTCTTTGTGTTTATATGCATTTGTGTGTGGATTTGTGTATGTTCGTCTGTAAGTATGCTTGTGTGTGCATGTGTGAGACATGCTTTGTCCTCCAGTTTAATGACGCTCTTTAATTTAATTTATGTTCATTAAATTTATTTTTTATTTTAATTAGAATTTTTTTATTTAATTTATTTTAATTTAATATGGTTTATTTTAATTTAATATGTTTTATTTTAATTTAACTTATTTTAATTTAAATTGGTTTAACTTAATTTAATTTAAATTTATTTTAGTTTTTATTTTATTTTAATTAGGTTTATCTTAATTTAATTTAATTTATTTTATTTTAATTTAACTTTACTTATTTTAATGTAATTTGGTTTTATTTAATTTTAGTAATTTAATTTAATACATTTTTTAAATTAATTTACCTTATTTTAATTTATTCAATTTTATTTTAATGTAGTTTATTTTATTTTAATTTAATTTATTTATTTTAAATTAATTTCGTTCATTTTAATTTAGTATAATTTATTTAAATTCAATTTAGTTTATTTTAATTCATTTCAAATTAATTGAATTAATTTAATTTAGGTTATTTTATTTTATTTTCATTTAGCTTTTTTTTTTTAATTCATTAAAATTCCATAAACAAATCAGGGTATTTTTCCCATTAATTATTTTTTAAACCTGAACATTCAGTCTTAGATTGTTTCTTTAAACTTTGTTTTTAATTTTCTTCCAACCCAATGCTACTATTGTGCGCAATTTCACTTCTATTAACATACTTAAAACTTGTTTTATTAGTTTTATTTAAGCAAACAACAGTGAGTGATGATGATCATAATCAATAAATATTAACAATGACCAATAATATTTATCAGTATAACCAAAGCAACCATTAAAAGAACTTCAGCAACTTTGTTTAATCAGCATTTATATTATATTATTATATTATTATTCATATTATATTGAAAAGTGCTGCATTCAGTCAGAAGTCATGACTACATGTTTAATAACAAACAAGCAGCATTCAGTAATTATCTGTAATTCTGAGGACAGAAAAGGACTCTGCTCTCCAAACTTGACATGAATTACTCAGATTGACATTATGTGCTAGTCATTATGTGTGTGTTGAACTATGACCATAACTGTGTATGTGTGCGTGTGTGTGTGTGTGTGTGTGTGTGTCAGCTAAACCGCTCCACAATTCCCTCGTCCACCTTTAGTTCATTACACAATTAATGGTCCAGAGTGCAGTTAATGCAGGACACAGAAACAGCACACTGAACACATTATTACTGATGCTCTTTACTTCTTCTCTCTCTCTCTCTCTCTCTCTTTATATTAATACCATGATAACTATAAAACTGGTGCAGAACAAAATATACAAAATATGACCAATGAGAACACTAAAATGAAAAGGTAAACTTAACTTAATGAGTGTTTAATATTCATATGTCATGTATTAGACCTCAAATAAACTCACTTGTTTAAGTCTGCCACAGTTCAGCAAACTTTAATAATAAAGAGCACACATAACAGCTGAAAGACCGGCGCAGCACACCTCAGCGAGTCACATGACACACAAAACTGATGCTAAAAGAGGAAGAGAAAAGAGAGAAAACACTCTCAAAATATTAACAAGAGGGATGAAGACGCTCCCGCTGAGACTCCATCAAACAACAAAGCAAATCCCTCTATGTGACTTTGTGGGCTCAAAGCTAATTAGTGTAGATTGCTACTTTGTGTATGTGTGTGTGTGTGTGTGTGTGTGTGTGTGGTATGTGTGTGTGTGTGTGTGTGTGTGTGTGTGTGTGCAGAAATATAGATGTTTATCTGTCAAGATGAGACATATTTAAGTATAAACGCTGCTTATCTTCATCTGAACAAGAGAAGGCCAGTTTGATGTTATGATAATCTCACATTAGTGTTGTTTCGTGCATCATTTGTGTATGCATGTGTGCGCGCGCCTGTGCGCATGTTTGTGTGTGTGGAATTACTGAATGTGTGTGTATGTGCATGCGTGTGTGTGTGTGCATTTGTGTACGCATGTAAGTGTGTGTGTTTCACTATACATGTTTGTGTGCATATGCATTTGTGTATGTGTATATGCATGTTTGTTTGTGTGTGTGTGTGTGTGTGTGTGTGTGTGTGTGTGTGTGTGTGTGCATCTCTGTGTGTATATGTACATATGTGTGATTTTTTTTTGTTTGTATGTTTGCTTGTTTATGTGTGTGTGCATCTGTACATGTGCATTTGTCTCCGTGTGTATATGTGCATATTTGTGTGTGTGTGTGTGTGTGTGTGTGTGTGTGTGTGTGTGTGTGTATATATATATATGTCTGTGTTTGTTTGTGTGTCTGCGTGTGTGTGTGAACTAAACAGAAAATTGAGTGTGTGTTAGTGTACTGTGCATGCATTTGTGTATGTGTGTGCGCATATCAGCATGCATGTGTATACAATGTGTGTGCAATTTCTTTTAATGTGTGTGTTTGTGCGTACCTGTGTGTATAAGTGCATTTGTGTGTGTTTTTGTGTCTGTACAGGTGCATTTGTGTCCATGCGTATATGTGTGTGTTTGTTGGTTGTGTGTCTGTATATATTAATATGTATTTGTGAGCTTGTATGCATATATGTGCGCGCATTTGTGTATTGGTGTGCATGCATTTTTGTTTGTTTGTGTGTCTGTGTGTGCATGTGCATTTATGTGTATACTATGTGTGTGCTTTATTCTTGTATGTGTGTGTGTGTGTGTCTGTGCATACCTGTGTGTATATGTGCGTTTGTGTGTCTGTGTGTGCATGTGCATTTATGTGTATACTATGTGTGTGCTTTATTCTTGTATGTGTGTGTGTGTGTGTGTCTGTGCATACCTGTGTGTATATGTGCGTTTGTGTGTCTGTACGTGTGCATTTGTGTGTCCATATATTTATTTGTGAGTTTGCATGCATGTGTGTGTGTGTGTGCTTGTGTACTGTGTGTGTGTGTGTGCATGTGTGCATGCA